GTAGTTCAAATTTTTATAATTTCAGTTGTTTTATTTGATAATACTTATAAGTCTGTATTTATATATATATAAGTGTGTTTTTTCAGCAACAATCCCACGTTTATATAGGTTTCATTGAAAACAACTGACAAGACACTTCAATTAACCTTGCTTTTTTATATTTTTCTTGCATGTGTACAAAAACATTTTTTTGGACATAGAGTAAGACCTGTGCAAATTATCTTTCGATTCTAGTGGTTTTGGGTAATCTATTAGCCTGTTGTGGATTTGAATCAATTCACAAAAAAGAAAACGGTTTTTAAATATAAAAATATTAATTTTTTTCAAGCATGTATAGGTGTTAAAGTTCTTTGTATTTGTTTAAGATGAAAAAGTGTTATTTCTCCACATGAATGTGTCAAAAAGAGGTAAGTGAGAAAGTGAGGCAGAAAATGTAAGTGTCACATATCTTGGTGTGGAAGAGTACAAGGGTCATGTAGCATAATGAGCAAGATGGGTGAATGTCTAAGGGAATCTCTTTGTTACCGTATGTTGCTGCTCCTTCCTTTTACTGTCTTTTCTGTGTAGACTTATCTTAAATACTCTTCAAAGGAGTCACAAAGCATGATTTTTATTGCTGGCAGGAACGTAACTCACTGATTGAAAAATGTAAATATTTATTTTCAAAGGAATAATATATTAACTGGAAGGATGCATGAATCCTCTGACTCTGGTTATGTGCAACTCACTCAATAGAGCCTCAGTTCTAAGGGGGAAATCAGGTGTTGGTACACCAGAAGAATCGAGTGTTGAATTGAATGAGAATTTCCATGCAAAGCATTCAGCCTTGTCGACAGAAGAGGTCAGAACCTCGAACTGGTTGAACAAAGAAGGTGTAGAGGGTTTGCTATTGTTAAGTACACTCTTGTAGAGATGCCAATAATCCCTGGAGCCGAATTAGCGAGATGCAATACGTTCTTTCATTCGAGCAGCAAATAGTGACTTTGCTTCATTGAGGACACGCTTACACTCATTACAGGCAGAAACGTCTATGCAGTCAGACATGTTGCTATGATATAGGTGGAAGAAGTGATTCCTATGGGCAATGGCAGCTGAGCAAGCATCTGAGAACCAAGGGGAGGAGTGCGATTTGACCTTATATTTCCTTGAGGGGATGAAAGCCTCGATTCCAGCTTTAACCCAGGAGGAGACCTCAGAAGCACATTCTTGAATGGGGAGCGTAAAGACAACATCCCAGGGGACATCGCGAAGGAAATCCCAGAAAGAGTCCCAGTCTGCTAGTTGATAGCAGAATGAGGTTCTAGTGGTAGAAGGTTCTTTGCAGGGGGTGGAGTTGAAGGAGATGTTGATAGACACTACAGCATGATTAGAATTGCCAAGTTGGCAGAGCTGCATGGTGCTACAGGACTCGGGGATGAATGTAAAACATAGATCGAGAAGAAAAGCCTTACTGCCCTGGTTGTAGGAAAAACGTGTGGGTATGTCAACTATCTGTGTGAGGGATTGTGAAATTGAAAAATTGAATGCCTTCAAGGTCAGTAGTAGCGTTTTTAAGGCACTTGGTATGATGAACTTGTTTAAAAAAAATTATCCAATTTATAATTTCTTGTTTGATTATCAAATCTTACTTACATAAGAATACAGCTCTTCTTCCCCTGGCTATGGGTTAATTAGTAAGACTTGTATCACTAAACCATTATTATCTCCAATAAAAAAATTTTCTTAGAATCTAAAAATATTTTCTGGCTTTAAATAACCTCAAATAGTTGTTAAGCTGTAGAAAATGAATCAATCAATGAAATACTGATTAGCTATACAGGCATGGCTTTTAGATTTATTTACATTCTCTGAAATATAAATACATAGAAAGCACTTTAGTAACAAAGTGAGGGATCAGTGTATATTTTCATTGTAATATAGAATCAAACCCACATCTTTATATCTGCATTATAAATTCTTACAAGCTAAAAATATTTTCTGGCTTTAAATAACCTCAAATTGTTGATAAGCTGTAAAAAATAATCAATCATTCAATAAAATACTGATTAGTTACACAGGAATGTCTTTTAGATTTATTTACATTCTCTGGAATATAAATTTATAGACAGCACCTTGGCTACAAAGTGAGGATTGAGTTTATATATTGAATGTAATATAGAATTGAACCCCCACTTTATATCCACATTATAAATACTTAGAATCTAAAAATATTTTCTGGCTTTAAACAGCCTGAAATGAGTCAATAAGCCATAGAAAATCAATCAACATGTTATATTTAGACAATGTCCCTTCACTCAAAACACGTTCTATTAAATAGAACAAAGAATATCTATTGAGACTAACGCTAATGTTAAAAGTTCAGATCTGAGTACTTTCTTTGAAAATGATTGACAGTGGCTGAAAGTTTAATATTGCATTTATAACTTTCTACCTGGAATTTAATTCAAGTTCATGAAATAATCTAATTCCTCACAAAGAGAGAGCGTGTTATCTACAGTGATCTCCAATCTGAACAAGACCAGCATGCTGAGACCCACGGTCACGATGACTTGTGACTTCATGTTAGCATAGTCACTGATGGCCTCCTAAGTCTACCATATTTCACTTACAGGACTTTAATCGACCTGTGGTATGTTTTTTAAGCACTTACCAAAAGTGCTGCATGCTGTGATCACCTCCTTTAGGCCAATAACATCAAGAAGTCAATTTCCTGACAAATCTTCCATGGTAAGATTTGAACCATGGTCTCATGGTCAGAAAGCGAACATTCCCATACATACATATATATATATATATATATATATATATGTTGCGGCGTTAAGCAGGTGTCCGTTAACCCCGCAAGCAGAAAAATAATGTAGGGTAATACAATCGAAGCAAGGACAACAAAGGCAAGGATGTAAAAGTTTAAGCCAAATTTTATTTAATAATCTGGCAAAAGTATGTACAGATAATTGTTTGCTGGAGTTCGGTCGTGAAGTTAGAGAGTGTCAGTTGAAGGAGCATTGTCAGGTTTCAGAGCGACAGCGATATTCGAGGTCCAGTCAATCCCTGGATGTCTTCCGGCCGGGTGCGATAAGGCCCCCTTCCTAGTGGATTGATCGTGATCAATTCGAAAAAAAGATGTATGTCTTTAATTTGGCAGGAAAATGAACTCTTCTGCCTGATTTTATTCGTACGACTGGTGTGGTTGTTTCATCTTCCGTCGTTGTTGGTAAGTCTGGCTCGGGAGAAGTTTCCTCTAACCAAGCTGGTTTAAGTCGGTTGATGGAGACTGTATCTTTGTCTTTGCCACGCATGATTGTGACAAATTTCTTAGAATGCTTCAGAACTTTAAAAGGGCCTTGGTAGCTAGATGTGAGAGTTTTTTTTACGGCGTCTTTCCTAACAAAAACAAAATCGCAGGTATCCAATTTCTGTGGTAAGTAGGAGCCTGTGGTTTGTTGTCGTGGGGGGGGGTGTATGTAAGTTTGGCCATGTTGTGGTGTAGATCTTGCACGAAAGAACTTGTTGAGGTTGTGCAAGAGTACTGCGAAAGGTGAAAATATTGTCCTGGTAAGGAGAGAGTCATGCCAAACACGAGCTCCGCTGTCGAACACCCTAAATCAGTTTTGAGAGTATTCCGCAAAGAGAGCATGGTCATGGGGAGGTTGTCGACCCAGTCGTGTATGTCGAGTTTGGTTGACAGGGACGTCTTTAAGGATCGGTGAAATCTTTCCACGAGGCAATTTGCACAAGGGTGGTAAGCCGTCGTTTTAATGTGTCTAACACCCAAAAGTTGAGAGAATTCTTGGAAAAGCAAGAACTGAAATTGTGGTCCCCGATTTGTTGTGAGAAATTGGGGTACGCCAAAGTTCGTAATCCAGTTGGTGAGAATGGCTTTAGAAACTGTGGTAGCGGAAATGTCCTTAATCGGCACAGCGAAAAGCAGTCTATGATTGTTAGAAGATATTGGTACCCCTGACACATTGGTAGAGGCCCGACGAGGTCAATGTGGATGTGACTGAAACGTGCATCGGGTGTGGCGAATGTTCCAACTGGTGATTTTGTGTGCCTCTGAATTTTGCATTTTTGACATTGTATGCAGGTTGAGACCCAATTCCTGATGTTTGAATTCATGTTGGGCCACACGAATCGATCGGCGATAAGCTTGACGGTTTCTCGCTTGCTCGGATGGGATAGATTGTGGAGATGGAGAAATACTTTTTTTCTAAGAGATGGAGGAATGTACGGTCATGGAGTATCCAGTGCGGTGTCGCAGAAAAGAGTTTTATCGCTGAATGGACACGGGAATTCCTGCAGTTTCAAAGAAGTCTCCTTAATGATGTCAGATATCGTCGTATCGTCTTTTTGTTTGTTGGCTATCAGCTCCTAGCTCCAAACGTCATTATCCATGGTATTGACGTCTGTTCTGGACAATGTGTCTGCGACGGTGTTGTTCTTTCCTTGGACATGTCTGATGTCCTTCGTAAACTGTGAGATGTAGTCGAGGTGACGTGTTTCACGGGATGTATATTTGTCTGCGCTGACATTCATCGCGTTGGTCAGCGGTTTGTGATCTGTGAAGATTGTGAAATGTCTGCCCTCCAGAAGATGTCGGAAATGGCGGATGGACAGGTAGATCGCCGGGAGTTCTCGTGAGAAGGTGCTGTATCTTCTCTGGGATGCTCCACTACTGCTCCTATTCCAACGTCGGAAGCATCTGTTGTAAGGAAGATTCTTGTTTCCGGGTCATTTTCGATGAATGAAAGTTTTGTGAAGTTTATCAGCGCTGTCTTTGGCGTTTCGAAAGCCCTCTAGCGTAATTTGTTTATTCTTTCGCTCTATGAGGTTTGTCAACGGGGAGAGAATTGTCGAGCAGTCAGGGATGAACCTGCGGTAAAAATTTATCATACCGATAAATCGTCTAATTTGTTTTGTGGGTGTAGGCATAGGGAAATTTCTAATTGCGTCGATTTTCTTGGGTAACAGTGTGATCCCATCTTCCTCGATATGATGACCTAAGAAATTCACCGCAGATGCTCCGAAAGTGCATTTGTCGATGTTCAGCCGGAGTCCATAATGTGCTATCCTTTGGAACACTTCGTTTAGGTGTTGCTTGTGTGTGTTTTCATCTGTGCTGGCTAATAAGATATCATCGATGTAGGCATATGCGTACGTTTGGCCACGCAGTACCTCATCTATGAAGCGTTGAAAAGTTTGTGCTGTGTTCCTTAGGCCAAAGGGCATCTTGAGGTATTCGAAGAGACCAAAGGGTGTGGTTACAGCAGTCATTGGAATGTCCTCCGAAGCTATGGGGATCTGATGGTAAGCCTTAGTTAGATCTATTTTCGAAAAGACGCGAGTGCCCTGCAACCCTGAGGTGAAATCGTGTATGTGCGGGACTGGATAGCGATCGGGTATGGTTGTGGCATTCAATCTTCTGTAATCGACGCATACCCTAAAGTCTGTGCTTCCCAGTTTAGGCACGAGATGTAGGGGTGAGGCGTATGGGCTTTCGGAGGGTCGTATGAATCCGTCCTTCAGCATATTGTTGAATTCCTTTTGGGCGTATTCAAGCTTATGAGGAGGAAGTTGTCGTGGGTCTTTATTTGATGCTGCGTTTGGTGTTTCACCGGACTGGTACCTGTGAGTGATTGAATGATGTCTGGGTATCTATTCAGGATCTTGACATATTCTCGTCCGTGGCAAGTTGTTCCACTGATTCCAGTGGTGTTGTGTCGAGAGAGGGTGCCTTTAACAGAAATGTTTGTTGTGTTGTCTGATAAAGTCCTTGGGTTAATATGCACAGCTAGGTCATAGTGGGCCAAGAAATCTGCTCCGAGTATTGGCATTTTTACGTCTGCCTGGGTGAAAGTCCAGGTAAAATCACGCCGCATGCCGATGTTAAGAGTCAGTGTGTTGGTTCCATATGTCTCGATCGTCGAACCGTTTGCTGCCTGGAGCTTATACAGGGCCGCTTTTTGATCTTGCTGTTCTCTGGGTGGGGGTATCACGCTGATTGCTGCTCCTGTGTCCACTAAAAACTTTATGTGGTTTCGTCGGTCCCATACATGGAAAAGGCGGCTTCGTATGTTTTTACCGGGGAGTTCTGCCGCTCCTACCCACCGCCTGTGTAGTTTTGGAGCTGTATTTGCATGGTGCGGAGCAATGTCTTGCTGAATATGTGGTGGTACTAGCATAATTCCGGGTCGACTCGTCGATCCCTGCTGGTACTCCGTACTCTCAGTCGCCAACCGCCGGTTGCCGGCTTCAGCCTCTTGATTTGCGGGAAAGGAACATTCGTATATCCTGCAGCTGATGTTGCAGGTCAGCTACTGCCTTTTCTAGATTTGTGTCTTTGGCTGGTGTGTCGTCTGGGCGCTGCATGGCACAGACTCCTTGGTCCAGTTTAGTTGCGGTGCGGTCAGCGGAGTTTGCTAACTGGTCTAGTGGAGTATTGCCAGTGATTGGCGCCAATATCTGCGTTATTGTTGTGGGTAACTTGTCCATCCACAGTTCGCGCAAGATTGATTCGGCCATCGAATATTTTCCTAGTCAGCTCCTCATGAAGCGTAGGAGCTGTGAGGGTGTTCTGTCGCCCCTGGTGACGTGGGTGAAAAGTTCCCGGAGCAGATCCTCGTCCGAACGGCCGGTTCGTTTTAATATCGCATCCTTAAGCCGATTATATGGCTCCTGCTCAGGTACATGTTCTAAAATGTCAGCTACTTTGTTGACCACTGAAGGTGGCAAAACTTGTACGACGTTGGCGAATTTAGATTGTTGTGACATTATTCTCCGTACTGAGAAAATAGCTTCCAACTGCAGAAACCAGTTTTTTGGTGTTTTGTTCATTATACGTAGGGAGGTTCATGAGTGGCATTGCTACATTTATGGGAGTGTTCTGTTCGCAATCGTCTGTTGCCATCTTGATCGATCGTAAATATCGGGGTCACCACTTGTTATGGAGTTCGATTGTGAAGTTAGAGAGCGTCAGTTGAAGGAGCATTGTTAGGTTTCAGAGCGACAGCTCAGAGGTAGGCTGATGGAACAGCGATATTCGAGGTCCAGTCGATCCCCGGATGTCTGTCCTTTTGTAAAGAGTGCGTCGGCGCTTGAGAAGAGAGAGGATCAACGCGAACGGTGCTGGTGTAGTCTGTTCGTCCTAGGTATGACAGTCATGCAAGATCACAGCTTCGTAGTTCTAATAAAAGCACATTCGTAATAACGTGGCTAGATTAGTCCTGAAAGGACTATCGCAAATCATGTAACCGGGTGTAGTCCGGAAAAAGCACTAGTGCATATCATGTAGCCGAGTGTAGTCCTGAAAAGGACTAGTGCATATTATGTAACCGAGTGTAGTCCTGAAAAGGACTAGTGCATATCATGTAGCCGGCTGCTGCTACTGAAGTTGGGTCGGCCCGCTGCTGCTTGGTTTGGCTGCTCGTTGCTCTACGCCGAGGCCAAAATCCGCCAAGATATCTGGTGGAAGAAATCGGCTGTGTTTATATAGGCTGAGATCAGCATCGTAGCTGGTTAGCGATATCTTTGGGGTGATGACTGAAAATTGCCTTTTGACTGTACACATGGTTTTCATTTGGACACCATGTGTATATAAAGTAGTTTCTGGTAATTATTTTTAGTTAGGAGGACTCGTTTATGTTAATGTTTCGTTTGTTTTGAGTTTTTGTGAATCGTTCTCTGAAAAACGCTGAGTCACCGGAAGTTAGCAGCATTCGTTCTGATTTCCGCGGTGACGCTTTTAGATGTTTGAGTAACCGGCAGTAACTTCCGGCCAGGTGCGATATATATATATATATATATATATATATATATATATATATATATATATATATATACAGTTCATTTTAAAGAAATTATTTCATTTAGTACAAGCCATAGATCATTCTGATTTATTGCAATTTAAAATATTAACATACATATGTGTGTGATTATGTGTGTATATGTTTTTGTGTATGCATGTGTGTACATAGGTAGATATAAGATATATATTCAGAACTGAATTCAACAATGCAAATAATTCTTGAAATTATAATTAAATTACATCTCCCCAAATGGTAAATTGTATCTTACATTTATTTGTAAATGAAAAATTTAATGATTATATATTTTCGTGTATAAATCAAATTTTTAAAATTAATTTTTTGAATAGTAAATAACTTGGGTAAACTAATAGTTTAATTATGTTAACAGTATATACAAAACAAGAGTTGATGAAAAATTCTTGGCCTCATTCACTTTCTGAAATCTATTACTATAAGTGTGATATGTGAGTAGTGTAATGGACAACAGTGTAGAAAGTGGAGTTGATAAGGTAAATTCAAAGTATGGGCTTGTCTGCTACATTTACTTTTTCACTAATATCCTTAGGACAGGCATGAATCCATCTCTTCCCTAGTGGTGGAAATGAGACAAAGAGAAGGAAAATTGGGAATTCCAAAAACCAATCAACTATCTTTCCCAAGAATGCTGGGCAATTTACAGAATATTAAAAATAAAAGAGATTTGTGGATGTGGATTGCCTAAATCCAAAACCGGATTTTAAAATATATATATATATATATATATATAGTTGGATTGATGTGAGTTTGTGACAATGGGTTTCATATATATATATATATATATATATATATATATATATATATATATATATATATATATATATATACATACTCCTTTCCAAAAGCCAACTTACAGGACTATAAAAATATTAAAAACTAAAAAACAGTTAAATTCAAAACCTTGTATTATTCAAAATATATGATACATAAATTAATCCCAAACTGAAATAATATAAATATATATATATATATATATATATATATATATATATATGACGGTATATACTCTTTTCAATATCAGAGATAGAGCGTTGGCCTGATGATTGCATCTAGCATGAAACAGACTGTCGCCTCTAAGTGTTGACTTCAATGTTCACTTTTTATATATATATATATATATATATATTTATATGCATACATATATATTTCAATCTTCCATGAATCTCGGACATTCATAACTGCTCTGGCGTATCAAATGTAAACAAATGACGTCATATATTAAGAAATGGACAAGGTCCGACAATTTATTTATTAAAGACATTTTTTATGTTTAACGTTGTTATTTATAGATACAAGTATTTAAGCAAATGCTCTGTTTATGATAAACAGTATTAAATAACATTTACCGGCCTGAATGTCCGAGAAATTTTCATAGAAAATATTCGTTCTTTGACAGGATTCGAACCATTTGTTTACATACATATATATATATATATATATATATATATATATATATATATATATATATACATATATATATATGTATATACATACATATATATATTTGTATATATATATACACACACACATGTTTTAGTATTTATGTATATAGTATTTTAGATTTGGGGAGACATGTCCACAAAGAACCTGGCAAAGAAAATAAATAAATTTATTGGAACAAAGAAGCAAATTAAATAATCCATTCCTACATGTCTCTTTCTATTTTTCTTCTATTTTTTCAGTAAATTCTTTGCCTTCTTTTTTCCCTTTTTTTCTTATTTTCATCCTCTTTTCATTTTCCTCCTTAATCTTCATTTAATCTTCTTTTCTTTTTTCTGTCTCCTTTGTCTTCTTCCTCCTTATGTTCACCTTCTTCTTTTCTCTTTCTCTCCTCCTCCTACTTCTTATTATTATTTATGACCTTCTTGTTATATTAAAAATTTATAATCTACTAAGTACTGTACTAAATACAAAATACTAAACACTTCAGATACCTTGGTGTATAGATCAACTATAACAAATTAAGTATAAGAAAAAAAGAAATTGTACATAAAATAAGCTGTGCCAAAGATAGTTTCGCCCAATACAACAAATTGCTACAAAACCAAAACTTCAACCTGAAAACTCGAGTCATATTCTTAAATAAAATCGTCAGGATGAGGTCTTCATATGGATGTCATGCATGATGCAAAACTCTTTCAGAATTATCTAAACTGCTAGCTTCCTAAGATCAATGCGGAAAAATAAATTTGAGCATGTGAAGCTGGAGCATCTTGCCAAAGATTATTCTTCTTTGAACATTGTGGACTGATACTACAAAATCACGAAGACCTGTACCAAACAGAAACCATATCGCTTGAGGACTACCAACAGCAGCAACATCTAAAATGAATAGCACATGTAACACGAAGAGAAAATAATGTCATAATAAAAATGTTAACATTCTACACTACTTCAAACAAAAGGTTAGGAAGAAAAACGCCATCAATATTGGAAAGAATGATAACAGCTACTGTATTTGAGAAAACCTGTTTTCCTAAAAAAAAAATTTAAGAGTGTCATGTTTGCAACAAATGAAATAAGATAAAAAAGTGAAGGGTATGACATGAAGACCAGCTAAGTGTAAGTAAGCAAAAGAGATTTTGTTTTAATAATTTTAATAGTTTTAAGTATCGAAGAAGAAGAAGAAATTGAACATAGAACGGGTTGTGTCAGTGGTAATTTCTCCCAATACCACCAATTGCTACAAAAGCCAAATATTAACCTGAAAACACAATGATGTTCTTACATAGCTTTGTCAGATCAATACTTTCATATGGATCTCATACATAGCATCAAAACAATTCAGAAATATCTCAATTGTCAGCAATATAAAACTGCTTTTTAGATCAATGTTTGTCTTTGAGTGAGTGAAGCCTATAGGTCTTGGTAAAGACCATTCTTCTTTGAGCATTGGGAACTGGTGCTACACAAAGAGAACTTTCAACTGCACCAACAACTAAAATTGATATATAACTCAAAGGGAAAATAATGACATAATTAAGATTTTGACATGCCATACTACTTCAAAGAAAAGGTTAAGAAGAAAACCCCCATTAATACCGAGTGATAACAGTTACTGGACTTGAGAAATCAATTATCTTGAAAATTTTTTTTAAGAGAAGGTTTTACAAATTTCAACAAGAAGTTGTATTGACTGCTTGGTTAATGAATGCCAAATGTTTCCTTATAAGGAAATGGTAAATATTATCATTAACATTATCACTGTTTCTTTTCTTTCTTTGTTTCTTTTTTCTTATATAGTCTTTTCAACATTTTCCTTCTTTCACCTCATTTTCTTCTTCCTCCTCCTCTTTCTTTTCCTTCGCCTCCTAATTTAAGAAGAAGTCTGTTGAATATCAAACAGTATTATGAATTTTTCTTCCTTCTCTTTCTTCTCCCTGTAGTTGTTGTACAGCTTTTTTGCCTTCTTGTTCTCTATCTTCTTCTCTTCCTTTTTATTCTTCTTCCACCTCCTCCACATTCTTAATCATTTTCTTCTTCCTCCTCCTCCTCCTCCTTCTTCTTTGCCACCTTATTCTTATATTTTTTTCCCTAACTTTTTCTTTTTTTGACCTTCTCTTCCTTAATCTTTTTACTCTTTCTTCTGCTTCTTTCTTTTTTCTTGTTCACTTTCTTTTCATTCTCTTTCTCCTAATTTGAGAAGAAGGTTGTTGAATATCAACCAGCATCATAAATTTTTGCTCCTCCTTTTTCTTTTCCTTGTTGTTGCTGTTGGTTGGTTCTTCTTTTTCTTCTTCTTTGCCCTCTTATTCTTTACCTCATTCTCTTCCCTTTTATTTTTTCTTCCACCTCCTCCACTTCCTCCAACTTTTCCTCTTTCCTCCTTCTCTTTCTTCTCCTTCTTGACTGGCTCAATCTTTTTCTCCTTCATCTTCCTCTTTCCTTTTCTCCTTCCCTCTCCTCATTCTTTTCCTCCTCCTTTTCAAAATTTGAGGAGAAAGCTGTTGAATATCACTTAGCATCATATAGTTTTCCTCCTACTCTTTCCTTTACTTGTTAGTTCTGTTCTTCTTTTTCTTCTTACCTTCCTTATTCTCAGCTTCTTCTTCCCCCTTTTATTGTTCTTCCACCGCCTCCACTTCATTACTCTTTTTCTCCTTCCTCCTCTTTCTTTTACTTTTTCCTTCTCCTCTTTCATTATCTCCTTCCTCCTACCCTTTCCTCTTCTTGAATACAACCCGGCATCATGAATTTTTCATTTCAATTCAGACCATATTTTTATTCTTTAAATTTATATTTTTCTTCTAATCATTGTTTTTCATTGACAATTTTTATCATTTCTTTTTTCTCTCATCCAAGACATTCCTTTCTAATTAAATTCCTAATATTTTCATTTCATTTTAAGACAATTACATTAAAAAATAAAAAAAATAAAAATGTCATATCCCCAAATTGCCTTTTTATGAAAGATACGTCCCAGGAGTTATATAATTATAAATCAGAAACTAGTTTAGAAATTTAATATTGGCAAAAAATTCTTTACTCACTTCATGTTCTATAAAGTGTGGGACAGAGATGACCTATTTTATAGCAAGAACAAAATGCACTGTTAACTCTTAATAGAGAATTTGATTGGACTGATAGCTTTTCTGAAAAATTGATATTTTTTATATAAATTTTTTCAAAGAATTGGTAAAATAACACACTTGTTTCCATGGTTCTTGTTTAAAAAGGTTTTCTGATGACACAATTGTTAAAATTAATTTATTATTTCATCCTAACATATTGTGAATATATTTACATTGTGTTATTCAGCTAGAACGAGTACAGGCTGAAATTCTACTGTCTACTAAACAGAGTAATGATAAGAGGCAAAAGATCATTCAGGCCTTCAGTAACGGTGCCAATATTCATCCCCTTGCTTCCATCTTCAAAGTCCATTCAAGAACTATCAAGAGAATGGTGAATAAGTATAAATTTATCTTATCTGATATCTATAGTAAAATACAGCTGACTGGGTTACATATGATGAAACTGTAAATGACAGAGAGTGATGATACATAGTAATATGTATGAGGGTGTCGTATATTTTTTTTTATTCTGTAATGAGAAATAAAGATTTTATTACATCTTAAATGTTTTGTTGCTTAACATTGAAAAATAAGTATATTGTATGTTAGTGAAAAATGAATTTTGCATCTTATACTAAATGTTGTTGCTATTCGACACCAAAAATGATAATGAATTTTAATTAGAAATACAGATTGTATGTTATCGTAAATGTTGTTATTTAACACTACTATGAGAAATAATGATTGATATGAATGCACCCATAGCTCTATAAATTACGAACGGAAGATTTGTTTACATCATTTGTTACATGTGCATGTTACTCAATGAAACTTTTGTGAATTGTGTAATTATCTGTTGAATGTTGCATTTTAATATGAAACCAAGAAGTAAAAATAGTTTTATTACATTTTATAACATAGTTCAGCATATATAATGTGAATATGCTGGAATATGATCATGGAAATATATATATATATATATATATATATATATATATATATATATATATATATATATATATGCTGGAATATGATCATGGAATAATATATATATATATATATATATATATATATATATATATATGCTGGAATATGATATGGAATATATATATATATATATATATATATATATATATATATATATATATATATATATATATATATATATTATAAATTAATTGATTTAAAATGTGTTTTTTTCCGCTACACAGTTCAAACTGTTCTTTCTTTTATTTATATATATATATATATATCTATATCTATATATATATATATATATATATATATATATATATATATATTTGAACTTTTACTTCAGCCCTTCATGGCTTCAATCCTTAGCTGTGTTTAATTAATGATGAACATGTCACTTTCATCTACGATCAATTTCATCATGATTCTTCTGTAAAACTTGGAGAATAATTATACATTCTTTTTGGTCAAAGTAGAGTCCAATAGTGTTATAAAAACCTCAGAGAATTCTAGTAATTCTAAGATACTACGGTTCAAAGATTAATCTAACAAATGGACAATTTTGCTGTTACACGATTTGGACAATTTTGCTGATATACCCATAATATATATATATATATTAAAAATGACAGACATTTTGTATTGATTAATTTTAATGATCTACTTTTCAAAATTGTGAATAATTCTTCAAAGAAAATGAGAAAATTTGATCAGAAATTGTCCAAAGTTAATTTGGGAAGAAATATATAGGAAATAATGGTCCACGTTTCAATTTTCTTAAGTCTTCATCAAGGTAGATAGAAACAGTTTCTGAGTTTCTTGGACCTAGTGAGTTTTGTGACATTATAATGTGAACTGTTTCAACTAAAAATATTTACAACTGTAGTTACCATACTGAAGCAGTTGTTTGACTACCTTAATCTAAGGTGCAGGCATACTAGCCTATATACCAGTGCTGATACACCACAGAATTTAAGGTTAGCGTTTTTAAGTGTTGTATTAGATGACCCTCTATTTTTTTTGTGGACAGGATTTTAAAGATGTAAATGTCATTTGTACATGGAAATATACAGTATATATTAATGCATATATTTTAATCATATTGCCTCAAGTAGGGTGACAATGCTACTAAGATGAAAGGGGTTAATGGGAGGGGAGGGAAATAAGAAAAATTCACTGAAGAGAAAGGAAGATAAAAGAACAGGCTTTGGGAAGAGAGAAGATGGCGATTGACATTGCATTTAAATTTCTGAAGATCATAGTTGGCAGGGAAGCAAGAAATTGGAAGAGATTCCCATGTGCAAGAAAAAAAAATATTACAATAGAACTTATGGTTATATCTAGCTATTTCATAGGTAAAACGATGGCACCTCATAGACCAATCTAATAATATGCTTAAATTAATGCAGTTTGAGGCACCAAGAAGGAGAGCTCATTAGAACAATAGCCATAAAAATACTTATAGAAAAGACACAGGGAAACCACATTATGGCGGCAGAAAAGTAATGGAAGTCAGGATACCAAGTCAGGACCGATAACATGACATACCTGGGAATGGATTCTGATAAGAACAATTAATTAGCAGGAAACGGTTAACCAACCTGATACACACACACACACACACATATATATATATATATATATATATATATATTCAATAATGGATAATGGACTCTCCCGTCGGTTTTGTTGTATGAGGATCTGACAGCTTATTGATTCAGTTATGAAAGTTTGTGCGATAATCTTAAGTGGCATTTAAGACCCGCTAGTGATTTACAAAGGAGGCCACATATGGAGCAAGTGTGAGGATTGTGAGATGAGATCACTGTTAAATTGGCTGACCTTTTAGATCTTGCTCTCGCTTCTGGAAGATGATTCAGACAAGAAAATTGAAAATTGCTGAGTCCATTAAAATACGTTGATCTGCATTCTACCTGCTCCAATGCTAAGTGCTTAAGGGTGTTATGTGGTATATTGACTGCTGACAAGTTGGTTTTCAGCTTGTCTTTGTAGCTTAGCCATGGGCGTCCTACATTCCTGTAGCCCTGATCTAACTGGCTGTACATTAGGATCTTGGTGTATTCTGTCATCAGACATTCTCAAGGCATGACCAGTCCACCGTAACTGAGACTGTATGATAAAAGTCTCGATTCCTCCAATATTATACCTGTTAAATAGGTCTATGTTAGATGTTCTATCTTGAAGCTTAACTCCACAGATTGCATGCAGACAGCTTTTATGTATATATATATTATATATATATATATATATATTTATATGTAAGCAAATATATGGATATAGATCCGACAGTATGAAGAAAAATACAGAAAAAACAAACAAAAATCTTAATATGTAATTATGCTGTATAACATTAATACAGCATAATTTCATATTAAGATTTTTGTTTGTTTTTTCTGTATTTTTCTTCATATATATATATATATATATTTATGTTGGTCACACCACAAACTCACTTTCACGACGCTTGACACTACATCTTAATGAAAACTCTAACATTTTTAGGCATTTAAAACAACATGCCTGCCTGCCACACACAATTCCGTAAAATGCTTGTCGAAACACAACTATACTTCGACATGAAAACAATAGACAAAAACTAAAAATACTTGAAGCATTATACATCAAACAGTTAAAACCCAACCTAAACAAAATCAACTATGGAATCTCTACAAATATTCTTAAATGTCTATAATTTCAATAATTGGTAACAGAAGCCATTGGTTATACCAACGGCTTTCCTTATTTCATTCTCCAATTCACTCTTGTGTAGTCATGTGTGACGTCATGAGATGCGGTGCGATTTTTTCGCTTCTAGCGTCTTATATGCGCGTGTTCATCGTTGCTTAGTGATCCACTATGTAAACAAAACAATGACAGACTATATCATCACTGTCGTGTCCGTATATTGTTTGATATGTTTGTATTTACATCTTTGATAATGGCTTGAGTAAGCCGAAAGCTTAGATTTTATTAAAAAAATAATGGATAAATATTGTGAATACTTTTCTTTTTCGGTTAATGATAATGTTATAAAACTTATCAGAAGATACGAAAAATTTTACATAAAATAAATAGACAACACTTGTCTATATTATTTAATGAAACGTGTATAAATAACAATATATATATATATATATATATATATATATATATATATATATATGTAGAAAAATGTAAATATCAAGAAAAGATTCCAAAAGAATTATTGTTTCATCATTACTTCATCTAAGTAATTGTCTCATATAGTTTCTATTTGTATATATATATAATCGACTCTCCTGTCGCGTTCGACGTATGAGGGTCAGGGCCGATAAGTCCCCAGGAAACCGACATCCTGACACCGGCACATGAGATTTGTTTATAGTGGTGAAGGCCTTGTGCAGGACCAGCCACACTTTTTGGAGGACGAATACAGAAACCTGGTGCACCGAATGCATGCCACAAGGTTCCCAAACGACCCTCCGCAGGTTTTGAATTCAGAGTTGTCCTTCTCCTAGACCAGTTGCCATCCAAGGCTATAGAACCCAGTCTGTCCTGCTATTTTACCCATAGCTGGAGGGAGATAAAGAGGATACATACCTTTCCCAAGGGTATTAGCACGTAAGTGAATGCAGTGGATTCGACTGGAATTCGAACTCGGCTCTGCGATTCCTCAGTCCAAGTCGCTAACCACTGCTCCACCGTGC